GGTGCCGAGGACTGGGGATGTGCTTCCCGTGAAGCCGCGAACATACTTTTTGGGGTTCTAGTATAGAACGTAAGGTAATTAGGTAAAGAATGCTCGCTGCTTTACCCATTTTGTGGATTGCTAAATACCAGACTAAATAAAGAGATGCTCGCCTGAATATTCATCTAGTGCTTCATGGTACGAAGATACAAGCGCGGCTCCCGGTCAAGCTTGTAACTTTAAAGAACGTCAATTTTTATTGTCTAGTAAGAAGCGCTTTGAATCCTACTAATCTATAATTTCCTTGGAGAAAGCGGTAGCGACGCCAGGAGAATCTTGCCAAGTGGTTGATTAACTCTCAAGAGGTTCCAAATTCAGAGGAGTCTATTCACTTCACCGGATCGGGCCAAAATCTAGCGATCAGGCTGACCCGAAGCTCTTCTACATGGAAAAAGTCTCGTCAAGTGGTAGAAGTGGTGCTCGATTGGCTGAGATCAGCTTTTCACTGACTGATGGTGCGTCATTTTAAGACGTCTGTTGTCTGTCTGACACCCCCTCAAAGGAAAACGATTGGGTTGATTAGCCCAAAGCAACACAAATTTTGAAGCAGAAATTATCTCAGCTACAGGGGTCTATTGTGACATCACTTTGTCGTCAACAATAATCCTTACGCCCAGAATTTCATTATCGTAGGAGCACAATTTTAGTAGTCTTAAACAAAGCCATGATCTGTTTCCGCATTCCTGTAGGGGTATTCACAATGCGGTGTATCATTCTCTTTCTTATCATACAGAAAAAAGTCAACGAAGCAAGAGCCTAACTTTGAGTAAAAATCTGCCGATACTGCATGTGTTGGTGGACTCAATAAATACGTCCGTACGAGAGCGACCCCTACTCCGCTAAATACTAGTAACGTGCACAGGTCTTCCCGCCAGTCTTTCGAAAGCCCCACTCACTTTTTGCCCATCGAGCAGTACCAGCATAAGATGATCCAGGCTGTCTTAAGCTACCTCGGCTCTGGCGGCACGTTAACTCTCTCAGAGAATTTTGGCATGCACTCGAAATGGAGATAGGTCAGATCTTGGATGCACTCTCTGAGCGTTTTCAGCGCACTCGAGAGACCCCGAGCGGTTCAGCACCGCATCACAAGTCTAGAACAGACGACAATTAAGCTATACGTGACAATAAATATGCTTCGAAGCGCTTCAAGTTCGATCTTCTCATAAGAGCGGGATTGTGAAATGGCCCCAGCAAGGCAACTTAGTACACATGATGCGTTTGCACTGTCTTTAGGATATTTGGCATATACCTCGATCTCTTTATCATTAAAATGGTAAGTGGTCAGTTCTAGCGATATCACAGCGCAGTCTTATATACCGCAGAATGTGCATTTAATCGAAATTCGTACTTCGATACATATTCGTGAGTGATTTGCGTGCCTATTTTCATGCGTTACTTTGAACATCCTACAACTGACCCATAGCACACCCAGTGCATGCCGCATAATTACAATTGAGCACAATTTTATTGGGAAGTGGAGCCGGGCTGATTTGGATAGGTCAAATTTGATCGACAGACCTCACCACTGAGACAAAAGCCGCTTCGTAGTACTTTCAACGTCAAAGGCATACGAGGGTTCAACAGCCATTAGTATAAAATTGGGGGAGGCCTGAAAAGGCATATACTGCGATATATAGTCAAAATCTGATGAGTGAGAACAACTTGATCCACTGCGGTCTCATTGCGTAAGTGAAACTCAAGCGATTTAAGCGATCCGTCTGACTGTATGCGAATTCTGCAATTGACATTGTAATTCTAGCGCCGAGCACCTTGACGGTGCTTGCCAAACTTCACCGAATAGCGCGAACTTCTATCCGACACAATACTTACAGGGAAGCCGTGTCAGTGAAAATTTCTGTCGAAGGACAGCTTGACTGTATCAAAATCAACTGCAGTGACACTGACAGTAGCGAGACGGGTCACCTCATTCAAATGGCCCGCAAAAAACTCAATGACGGTAATACGAGACGCATCATATAGAAGATAGAACATGTAGTCAATACGTTTGTACTTCCAACTCTCGGCCGGAATCGGCAGTTTAACCAAAAAAGTCGACGCATGAGACAAGAATTCCACCCGTTGTATATTTAAAAAATGCTCACGTCTGTACGAACCCTCTTATACACAAAAGACCACTCATACATCGCGCCCACCGAGCAGACTGATTATATTCCTCGTGTAGTGCTCTGTGTTTGAGATTCTCATCATGAAGCACCATTTCACGTTGCGTACCAATGGGCCGCTACTGCAAAACAGCAAGCGGTGGGGTAAAGAGTAGCGGCGTAAACGTTCAATCGCGTGCTTTGTTAAAGCGACATCTGAGCTTTCAAGCCCATTGCTTTCCGAAATTGCTCAGGGATGCAATATATTTTGCTTATGATCCTTAGGACGTACGTATTGCCTCATTATTTGGCCTCTGACTTGCAACGATCTGAGTCGGCGAGACGCCAAAGCGCGCCCGCCTCTACATTAAGTCAAAACGACTTGTACCTTACATCAAAGTAGTCGCGGCAAAGAAGGAGAACAGCATTGCCACTCTTTGTAAAATGTGGTGGTGACGACGTCGTTGTTCACGAAGACTCATGATCTTTACAGATCAGAAACGGCTTAAGCCAAGTCGAAGTATCCTAAACTTAACAAGAGCATACTTTAGTGCAAGAAGCTTATAGTCGTAGTTGAGCTGTTCCTTCCAGATGCTTTGATCTGAAGACACTCAAACATGATCATGCGAACATACCCAGCACAGCGCTTGGCAGATCCCGTACGACACGAAATGGCTGTCCGGAATTCCGGGTAGCAAGATTTGGTGTTGCAAGAAGCTCCAATTCACAGCCGTGATGGCCCCTTTTCGCCTCGCCCACATCCTTTCCAACGAGATTGGTGAGATACCATGACATGTTGTCATAATTTATACTGCATCTACGCAATTAGTAGGTCAAGTCAGCTGTTTGAGTCCGTCAGAACAGAGGATCTGACCACTTTACAGATGTAATTGTTGTTGCCGTATTTTTCTGCAGACCATACCCCCGAATTACGCAGCTCAGAAGGGACTGTGTTGGCCTCAGAGACACACACTTTTATACTCGAAACTACTTTGAATAAGTGGTTACACTCGAGTACTGCTGCAAGTGATCTACGCGGTCATTCACATCCAGATTCCCTTACTCCTCACTAACATTGACACAAAGATAATATGTTGAGAAATAACCACATTAAGTATGAAGAGCTATATTACCAGACAATTGAGCGAAACTTGTGTATAAGATACTTCCTGACCACCCACAACCAGAGCACTCTTTCCGGAGTTGTAGCACATTGTTGTACTTATTGCTGTCCCTCGTCAGCAGTTGATGAGATCCGTCTATTAGGTCACGGGCACTGAGTATAATGCGACTGACGCCGATTTCTTACAGCACATCTTTTCTAGCAGTTACCATTTGCGCCGGACTCGCAACCGCAAAATTGCAACTTGCCATATAGTCTTTCTGACAAAGAAAGGCAAGGCTGAGAAGCCGATTGACCCCTCTCGTCGAGATTTTTTTGTGCTTTAAACAGATGAAAATGTCTCTAATGTCACACTGTTGTCCATCGTCGTTTGGCGCAATACTTGATACGGAAACAAAGTATATTTCATAGCGCCCTTTTTAATCCGGGATAACACGTGTGGCGGATCTCTCGTAACCACGTCGTGATATCCCTTACCAAAGGACAAAATGGAGCCGGAGAATCAATGCTCTGCGTTTGTACACGACGGATGACAAGCTCAGATCATCTTCCATTACCAGTGCCATATCATCTGACCCCATCATCTTGCAATTTCTTACACATGCCTCTAATTTCTTCAGTCCAATTAGAACCTCTGCTAAAGGTAATGAAGATAGACTTACAACCATTAAGGCTACCACGGTCATATCATTCAGTGAATAATCTAATTTGCCATTCACTGGCAGGACCTGACTGCTACACGATGATCCCATCACACAGAAATGCCAACCGTAATATTGTGACTAGATGATACACCATCCTTGACTTGTATACCTACTCTTCGACTCTTGATTCACACTCGCCTCTCAACTCTTCTGGGACTAGAACTAGAGGCTCTTCTGGGTCTAGAACTAGAGACTGTGACCTCCGCTCTCCGCCGGCCCTGGCACAGAAAACAACAGCATACATCATCTACTACCATCTCGACATAAAGTAAATCTGGCGACTTCGAAACCCAAATCAACCAGGAATTTCCAAAATTTCACATAGCCCGGGATATTGATGTCAGCAATCAGCAACGCTGGGCCATGAGTCCCGCCTCTCAGTAGGCGTCGCTCATTTTAAGGCTATCCCCATTGACCACGACCTTTATAAAAAATAACCTAGTTTCTGCCCGGACTCAACAAGTCCATGCGTAGGGTAGTCCGACAACCTTGCGCGACAGACTGACTGTAGCTACTTCTAAACCAAGAACAAAGGAAGCACGCAAGACGCAGAGTCTTTGTGCTATAACATCTACAATTATTAAGATTTTCTCAAAACTGAAAGATATCCCTCTTTTTCATTAGTACGGCTCAATCCCGAAACTTCATTCAACCTACACGACACGAAAGTTGCACTCGACATTAATTACAATACCTCTCACTTCTTGCAATCAGTAGGCCGCACACAATTATCACATACACAGATCCTACAAAAATGGTATCCTGTATCGCCACTGGGACAGGGACTGACGCCATTGCAATCATAAGGGATCTTAAGTTCTGGACATGGTCCACTAGTTGGTAATTTCCTGGACGGATTGACGAAAACTTTAATCTCACTTGTTACACCTGCAAAAACCCGCGATGTATGTCGCGACGAACCTCTCATGCTGTGAACACATTATGAAGAAATGGTTTGCACGGAAGTGTCTATTCTCGTAAGCGGCCAGCATATATAGTACGTGGATGCAACAACATATTTGATTACTCTCCATGGCAAATTCCTTTTCCGGAGATGCCAAAGCACAAACTGCAGTTGATTCACATCTCTTTTTGATGTTTTCAGCAGGCTGGGCAGTTTTCAGCTTAGCAACGGTCAGAGTAAATACAACCACACGTGAATTAGTTAGACTTTAATATTCGTTCAAAATATGTTTTTTTTGGCTTCACCACGACTTCATCTTTACGACCTCATTTATCATTGCCCTGTCTTACCGTTTGACAAAATTTTGAGTGCTAACCATTGCGATTTCCTTGAGATTGAAAGCATAGGTCGTCCTTTGACGACCTAGTTTTGCTTGTCGTAGACACTGACAAAAGTGTCGTAAGCATCGAGCAACGTACTGTGGCAAGCGCAGTGCTGATGCATTTTTGTTGCTAGAACCATGATCAATGTATAACGATCACCGAATCGAGCGGTAAGTGCAGAAAGCGATCTCATTTCCGAAGATGGTTTCGCTCTTTTTTGAGCGCGAACATCGCTTTCATTAGCGGTGAGCACTTTACTGTTAGCCGTATCTCGTGGGCCATCAATCGAATGGTTGACCGCGTATTCAATTTTCTGCTTCGTCCTGCTCCAATTTCTGATATCTTCATCCAAACCAGTTGAAAGTTGCTACGTAATATTTTATTACACGGCTATACCTACTCGGCCCTGACTAAGGTATTGCATTGCTTTATTCCGCTGGAGTATTATTTTCTTGATTCTTTTTTATGATGTTTCTTGAATTTTTCTTGTACGAGTCGCCATTCCGAAGTCCATTTTTGGCTGTTTTCGGTAATATTTTGCATGAAGCCGACATTTTCTTACATGTCTGGTTCGATTACGATTTTGTCCGCTGAGGGTCTCGAACCCGCGCTATACAACTTTAAGCTAGAAGCATTGACCACTTGACCACGCCACCGGGTCTTCATCCAAATCAGAAAGACCCATACTAAACTGCCGATGCTTCTTCACACGTCTGCAAATGCACTATAAACGCAATGTACTGTGCGGATATTTTTGCAGCTCGTCCACAACAATTGACACCAAAGCATTTTAGTCGTAGGATTTTGTTTCAAATCCTCGATTAGATTGGAGTTCAGGTCGATCCTTGACGAACTCGTCGGCAATGTGATGACACACAATTCATATGGCCGAGTTTTGGAGACTGGTACCTAGTGAATCAATACTCTTGTCCGGAGATTAACTTGAGCTTATTCAGTCTTCGCAATCGCTATCTCGCACACAGCGAGCACTGATTGATTATGATTGCTGTCGTGGCCGACTGTGTTGCCTTCCGTCATGGGTATGACCATGGGTAAGTTTACTCTGCGCTTTTTCGAGCAAAATTTTATTCATATTACTTAAAACAAAAGTCACAGCTGGAGATCTTCAGACCACTGCGTCAATGTAGACATCATCATCGCTCGTTGAATTGCTGAATTAGTCTAGAAACAGTTATGCCGTTAACATTCAGCAATCGCGGCATCCGCGATTTTTCGCTCTATCACAACAAATCCAGCTAGTTCTCTGTCAAAAAGTATATCTAAAAGTCATTATTATATGATACCGCGAACTTAAGTATTTCCGAGACAATCTGTCATTTACCCTTGAACGGTGTGCAAGGGTATGGTCCCTAAAATCCATCAGCTTATTTGTTTGCCTATGACTTGATCTGTCTGATCTTGAGCATTTAAGACCGAGCTTGAAATTCAAAAGACATAACCGTTTCACCAAGCAAGCGATAAAACACTAGTATTCGTGTCGATTTCACAGCTTTTTACTAGTTGCCAGTTGCAAGCACAGTGAATACCTTACGCATTTGCCTTATCCATAAGTTGAACCTATCCGTTTGTCAGTAGTCGGCTGTGTAGCCGTGTCGTCACTTTTCCACTTCATCTTGCGCTTCTTCGTGGGGAGAGCTCATGCTCTCGTAAATTACTTATACACATAATCCAAAAAGTAAAAGTGCTCGGCGTCAAAACATTTAAGCAGCGCAGTGACTTGGTCGGTGGTGTTCAAACTGTTTAACCGAATGTCGCAATCGATACGTGATCAAAGATTGAGACTGTCGGAAAGAATCGATTAAGACGCTTGCGTTGCGATTGCAATGATGTTTTAGAGTATTTGAAAAGTTGGATGGAGTGATAGAATTGATTTCATCGGCATGACGCGGAATGTTTATACGTGCAAATCGGCATACCCTTATCTACAGAGCGTACGCAAATTAAAACTCGAGCTCTCAGCATGTTCACTCTTCACTCGGTGATACGGGTGCTGTTCATTACACAGCAAGCCATTTATCGATAAATTGGCATCTTTCTTGCATGTTCTCCAAATTTTGAACTTTTGAGTGTATTGGTCTCGCTGTATAGCGTTAAGGATGTCACGACTGCCCCTGCGACTGCGATACTCAAGATTTTCGGCACATGTTCATGGTAGATACCATCAAATGAGGCTTAACTACTTTATCCGGTATACACTTGTCAATCATGAGAAATCTTCCAGCACTCCTATTGTCATTAGATGCGACCTCAAGGCAATCGGCGACGGAGGCACCATCATCAGAATCTAGTAAAAGAACGGTGCATAATAATGATTGAAGCATAGCAGCAACTGAGGAGTAACTAGTATACACGAGCCGTTGTGGTACATATATCTTCCGGAGACAAAGAGATATTTTGATCTAAGCAAGCTGTATGCCGATTCAAAACACATTGTTCACAGTGTTGCTACAACCATTTTAAGCCCCCCAAAAGTTGTAACTTGCCTAGCAATGTTTCAACGATGCTACGAGACACTTCAGTTTCACCGTCAAATTTTCATATTAGGCGAAGCGGATCGAAACACACATAGGGAGTAGGCAGAGGTGGAAAGATACTCTAGTCCGTCATAGTATCGCGATGCTCGAAGCAGGCCCCTGAGCGGAAAGCGCACTACAGTGCTCAACAAGCTCAGCTTGAGCACCGACATATGATAAGCATAAGCACCTCCTAGCTCTCACAATCGCGATCCTGTACCATTCCATGCGCAAAATGCGGAATGGCAACATTATTGAGCGCTCTATTTGGAGCACAAAACGAGTTTGATGAGGCTGGGCAAATTTAATTGTGTAGCGCATCATCGTCACGGTACGTCCGCCCAGTGGGCTAGTCTGAGAAAATTAATATCCAGGTATTCGGCCGATTTACATACAAACATCTAAACATCAGTTACTACAGTAGCGGCAAAAAAAAATTTCCCAGATTGATACGAATCAATAGTTAGAGTGATAAAGTTAGCCGCACTAGTGGTCACAGTCAATTTATTAAATCTGAATACTGGTCGTTCGACGTAACATTATTGTGAGCGGCCAGTTCACAGCGTCAAGCTATTCGGCAAAGAGCTGAGCCTAGCTGCCTAGCGCCCTAAAAGTCGCACAACTTCACTGACTTTCTTAACTGTTGGTTTCAAAGCTCACTCGAATAATGCAGTAATCGCCATCTGACTTGAATCGCCGAATATATTTGTAATTAATTTGGTTATATTTTATCGAGCTGGACTAGCACCACCCAACTCGTACCTATGCGGCATCCAAATCGACTGACCAGCGGACGAGAAGCGGACGCCAGTGTCTGGCGGGCCACATCAACACAAAACGACCAACATCTCATTTCCTCGATTTTGGTCTCAAGAGCACCTAGCGAATGAATTCTTTAATTAGTGCATTTAGCACCGGCGATCTCGCTCAGCACGCGACAGCCAAGTATCTTTGCGCAACACGAAGAGACGACCTTTCAATTGGCGCGAAGGCAGCTGGACTCGACTGTAGCGTCGACTACCACGAAATGACTGAGAAGTCCAAGCTGTGTACTGATCTGCACGACAGCAGATTCAGTAGCTACGATTCCAATACACGAGCTTCAACTGCTAAGCTTAAAAAGAGTGTGCGGTGGGCTACCATTACCGTGCATGAGTTTGGCGTAGGACTAGGCGGCAGCGCCGTGTCTAACAATGGTGGTCCGTCCATTGGCCTCGCAGATACACCCGAATTCACGTGGACAACACGAGTGGGC